AGGTGTGACTTATTGATTTATTCATTTATAAAATACTATTTTTGTGAACTTTTGTGAAAAATATAAAGAATTATGGAACATGCATGTGAAGTGTGCAATAACATAGATCATTTAAATTGAAATTTATCCTTGCATCGTAAGTATTTTTAGGTTAAGATGTTATTTTTATTTGAACCAGTGGAGTAGGGCACCCGTCTTAAGACAATTTATTGTAAAACATTTGATACAATTTCCCATTGAATTTAAATTGTATACTATCACATAGTAAATTGTTTAAAAAATTATTAGTTATCCAATCTAATTTTTCAGACAATTTACTGTAATATACAATTTAAATTGTACAAGAAATTATATCAAAATCTTGTAATTGTGTAGTCTAAAATAGTCTTATAACTGTATTTAAAGTGTTATTTCTTTTATTAATTAGTAAATTATTCTTATACCAATAAATAATTATTGAATAGTGACAAAGCAAATTTAACGTAAAATAGAGAACACCTTTAAATTGATTTACCTATTAGGCACCTATACATATTTTTTAATATTCTATTTAGGTTTCCGCAAGAGCCTGAGAAAAGAAAACTTTGGTTTTCTCTATAGTAGGGATCCTTGAAAATCAGTTCCTTCATAAAAACCCAAAGTTGTGTTCAGAACATTTCAGACTGTGTGAGGACTTTCTATTTTTGGATGACTTATCCAACAGGTAAAAATACAAAATATAAATTTTTTTGTTTAGCTCTAAACATTATTTATTACCTATATGTATGTATTGTGACGGTGTTACTTATTTTATATTTTATTCAAATTTGTCACAAAAATGCAATTTATTTAAAATTGTGTTCTATATTTTTTTAATAAATTTTATTAATTAGCAATGAGACTCTTAATTATTTAAATTTTGTAACTATTTTCATAATTTAGGTAATCTCAGGGAATATTTTAGTTTAATTGGGTTCATTACTTTTTCAGTGGCCCTCGTATTATGAATTTCAAAGAATGGAATAAATTTATCTTATGGGATTTCAGGGTAGCCAACCAGTCAACAGAAAATATACCAACTAAGAATTAGAATTCAAAAAATAACATTTATTTCTGGACTCTATTACAACAAAATCTTATAATTCTATAATAAAACATTCACTCTTCTTCACACACACTTTATGGACAGTGGGTAATGACTTAAATAACCCACCTCCTCTGACAATTTTTTATTATACGTTGGCAATGCCGTTGCCGTTATAATTTGTTGAATATGCTTTGAATTTAAAATAAATTTATAGGTTATGTGTTTATTATGGACAAGAAAATGTGGATTTTTAACTCATTAAATGAAATCAGATTAATATTAAAGACAAATAGAATGGTAAGTAATAGGTTCATATAAAAATTTTGTACCTTTACAACTACATCAGGGTTCATAAATTGTGTTTTATTTGCTTCTTTTTTTTTACAGGTAAAGTGCCAGTCAAGAAGATTGAAAATCCAGATGAATCTTAGAAAACCACGTTGTATCCATCCACAACTTGTGAATTCCAGGACAAAAAAGCGGAAGCCTTTCAGGATACTTCCACATCCAAAATGTATGATCACTTTTTCACTTTTGTAAACAATATATGGGTAGAAACTTATTATACCAATTACATCAGTAAGTACTTATTACTAATTTTACAACAAATTAGAGTTACTAGGTTTGGTATACTTTCTTATTATTTTCATTTTTTAGGATGACCAAGAAACTACATCACTGCCATTTTTTAAATTCTACCAAGACTCCTTGATTTTCATTTGTTAAATCAACAACTTTTTACATTTTTAATCCCATCTAGAAAGTTCAAATTTCTTGTTCCCAATAGAAAGAAACTGGGTTTAGTTACTTTTAAAAATAAGTTATTTCTATAAATTAAAGGTGAGTTTATTAAAACTAATTATACTGTAATTTTAAACTAATTTTATATTAAAATTCTATTAATGTTCGAACAAAATCCTGGTTGTCAAATTTAATCAAATTGCATTTTTGTTATGTTTTAAAATGAAGTTGGTATTCTGTTTCTTACTAAATTTGTTTACTTTGTTACTGTTTTCTATATTTGTCACATTGTTTCATGTACTGGGTGATATTATTAATATGTCCAATAGTAAATAATTTTTTTAATTTACAATAATTTTAAAAGTTTTTTTGTTTGATTTTTTAAAATACTATCTTAGTATATTTAATGTATGAATTTTTTAGTTATGATTCAACTGTTTTTGGAACACCACCTGCTGCAAAAAAAAACATTGCAGTAAGTAATAACACTAATAACTCATAAAAAAATTAAATGAAATTTTACTTAAAAAAATTAAGGTATCTAATATATTTTAAAACGTTTATTTTAAAAATTTTTACAGTTTTTTTACGATATTTTTTGCCACACTATGTTTTTTGTAATTAATATTTAAAAAAATTATATATTTTCAGGATAGTGTTTTATTTAGATACCCCTACCTACTTAATGTTAATATAAAATTTTAAATCATTTTGGTTACCATCATGCCAGGCAAATATATAGTAAATGCCAATAAACTATAAACCAATAAATATTAAAAATCGGAAGGTAACTTGAATTCTCTTGTATTTGAATTTACTTGTACTTGAATTTACCTACATGAAAAAATCATTATAGTTATATTACTGAAAAAATATTAGGGCTGTTACGGAATAGGTTTTTGACGTATCTAGTACGACCTGTACCTGTTCCAAGTAGATACCTATTCCAAATACCTATTCCCGTTACAAGCTATTCTAATTCTAAATTTTATGACAGAATATTGTTGTCGCTTGGCAAATATTCAGCAGGGAGTAGGGGAATCCCTGAATCTGGTGAATCCCATAAGCATAATATACTGGATTGTCTCTGATATTTAATATCGATCGATATTGTATTGAACTTAAAGCGTGCTATTGTTTACGGTGGTAGATGACAAAAAATAAATTACAAAATGTAATGTGCAAAACAGTAATTTCTTATAAAACCAGTGTCTAATTTAAAAAAAAAAAACACCTTCTAAGAAAGCACCCTACAGTACAATTACAATTACTTTGAATAATTTTAAAAATGTCACTAGTTCGTAAATACTCCTGTATTATAAACATATTATAATCCCTAAACAACTACCTACAAGCAAGAGAGTTGAAACATCAAACAAAAAACGAAACCTAATACCAAAATACTGAATAGGTACACACAAACGTATTACAAGTTGCCTGACTAATCCCACATCATTCCGTTTCAATTACGAACATCAGTTACAATGCACGATAGCATCAGTGACACAAGTAATAGGTTTGTGTGAAATTTGGTAACAGGTACGCGGAATAGGCAGGAGATACCTATTCCAAAGTAACAGGTCCAGTTCCATTGTAACAGCCCTAAAAAATATACTTATTTACGTATTTTTTTAACATATTACTCTGGTAATACTGGCAAGTTTAAAACTCTACGCCGCTGGCGAGCATATCATGGACACGGTTTGCAACGTTGCCAGCCGGTTCAAAGAGATCTGTCTTTCTCTCCCCCACTCACTAACAATTTTAAAAACAATAGCAGTCCGCAATTGTATGGGATTTATGAATGAAACATTTTGTCTATATGTTGTAATGTCTTTATGAATTTTATTACTTCTGGCGGACCATGTATACATCAATAATTTTTGAAAACTCTAATTTTGATATATAGGGATATTTATTATCTAAAGGCTTTTTACTATTAGACAACAAAAAAAATAGTAAAAACATGTTTTAGTCGTCTGAAGGAAAATAAACGGTTTTTCCTTAAAATTCAATTTTTCAAAGGCTCGGTGAACCCTGAAAAATATATATTGTTTTTCATTTAACTGCAAAATTTTGTTTTAAAGACAGTACAACAAAGTAACTTTTTATAACTATTACAAATCCGAAACAAAAAAAAAAACATTTTTTTACCTGTTTCGCTCTACCCTAATAGATATATTATTCGTCATCGCTTGGAAAGTTATGCACACATTACACATACCAAAACCTTTTGATTTTCTGAAATAGAAAGTTCATCAACTCTCTCTGACAGTGCAGATCTCAGTCATAGCGACATTGTACAAATCTAAAGGGAATGAGAGCAAAGGAAAATGAGTTGGGAATAATTAATGGGTATCACAGAATGAAACAAGGAACCCCGTAACACTTATGTCATGTTTAAGACTCAAGTTTGACCCTTTAGAGGCTGCTTTAGAAATGTCAGTTTCATGTACGGGGATAAGATACGAGTTTAGAGTTTGAAATAGTGAATTCAAATTTAGATTTGAATAAAATACTAATTTATATAAAAAATCTAAAAACTTCGGTGGTAAAAAATGTGTTTTGTAGTTAACAACTGATTTATTAATATGAAGGATATTTGTTATCATTATGACATGTTATATCGACGGTGTTACGCCAAAGAGACGTAAGCGCCATACGGTACATTTTACAGGAAGTGAAAAAAACATCTGAATTTGGGCACCTGCCTATTATTTCAAAAACTATTTTTACCAAAGTAAACAAAACTAATTTTCAGTTAAACAAACAAAGTTTGTTTCACTTGGTGGAACCTATGAAATAACTGTTGCAGAAATTGTAGTAATTTGGCGGTTGTGTCAAAACAGGTTTAGGTAAATTCGCTTACGTCTTTCACAAATGTCGTTTACGCTAATATGGATGGATGTGATGCTTACCACAGATGGCGTTTAAACTGCGTTTACGCCAAAATGATAAAAACAATTATATTACTTCTATCCACGTCTTGCCGGTTAGGTTCAATGTAGAAATCGCAAGGAAAAGAAATCTTAATGACAAAAGAACTTTATTTAAGAAACAAAATGGTAATTCTGGTATCACAAAAAATACTACTGTAAAATAACAAACATTTCTTATTATTAATAAAAAACAAACTTTAGTGCAATTATTTTTTTTAAACACAACGAACATAAAAAAATCTATGATAATAATATTAAATTTCATCTTCATCATCCGTTTCTTCTAAGACGTCAGCTACTGTATTACTTGTTTTCAGTAACAAGTATTCGTGATGAAATTCTTTTCTAATTATTAGCGAGTCACAAAGAGATTTTAAGTTCTTATATTTATTTTTGGCGATTGGCAGTTCCCCTTTATAACATGGCAGTAGCCTACTTTTGCTTGAATCGTTAACTGCACAGATTTGTTTTGTTCCTCCAAAAATAAACTTGTGTAGACTACAGCATTGTCTTTCGTAAATGTCAATCTCTTAGTGCCGGAAATTTTAATTTGCAAATTTTCTTAAAATCAAAAAAATTGTGAAAAGTGTGTCCAGCAATTAAAAAGTTTAAATGAACTTTTTCAACAAATTTACTTTGATTTAAAAAGTACTGGATCATGGTAAAAACGTATTTGTTTTTATTCTGTACCCCACAATTGTCACAGTAAAGTGACAGTACTTTAAATCTTCCTTCATTATCTACTTTTTGTAAGTAGTGGAATAAATTAGAAGCAATTTCGTTGGGACCCCTCTTTGCATCTTTCTCACCCCATATGTAGCAAATTCCTTTTTGTAATCCAGATTCATACGTTGTGAAGTTATAAACTGCGTATTTTCTAGAAAATCCTAATAACATCGAATCACCGTGTGGAGTTGCCAAAACTTTTTGTAAGTCAAAGCTTACCACCAATTAATCTTCCTTGCCCGACATTTCTTGTTCCTGTAGATAAATATTTTTAGCAGCATCTTTTTCCTGGATATGTTTTTTATATTCTTTTACGTTTTCTTCAGTCTTAGTATCTCCTAAATTGTTAAATTTTTCGCATTTCGAACACTTATCTTTTCTAGGCACATGAATGCCAATGTTGTAGTCAGTCTTAAGATGTTTTAAGAACCAAGATCTTTTTAATGGAGGAAATGTACTATTTTTCGGATATTTTTCAACGAAAATCTTGTACAAATTGTTGAAACTTTTGACGTCTGCTGGTAAGTATTTTTTAGTAAAAGAACTTCTACAGTAATGACTTGGTACAGCAGGAAGTGATTCTACAAATTTCTTGAAAATTTCTACTTGTTCACTTGAAGCTTTATTATGGGGAGTATAGTGTCCGCGTTTATCAGGAGTATGAAACTTTTCTAAATCTGTATTCTCTAGTATGATAGATCTGATGATTCTTTGAAATATGTTGAGGGTTTTTAATAAAATCTGCTGACACACTCGTACTTTGGTATTGCCTTTATGTAGACTATACTCGTTGCTTATTGTTCTAGTGACTTGGCCTTTAGATTTTCTGTGCCGCTTGACATTTTTTACTGACACGCATTCTCTGAGAAAACATTTTTGTTTTTCATAACTTTGTAATAACCAAAACTAAGAAAAAATTTGGTACGTTCTTCATCGGTAAACTTGTTGCACATATTAAGATATTTTTTTCCTAAACATGGATTCCCCAATACTTTCTTGCTTGGCATTGTCCTCCCTTTACTGTTTACATACTCAACACCTGTATTTTTTAGCTTAACTCTTTCTTCTTTTTTAGTAAGCTTCTTTAATGGTCGTGGAGTAATTTTATTACACTGTTCTGGATGGTGGAAGTTCGTAATTTCTTCTTTGTCCATCTCCCCCATGTTGGACTCTTCATTTTCACTTTCAAGAATATAATCAGGATCGTTGTCGTCTATAGTTTCAAATGTTTCAAACAGGTTTACACCTTCTGAAATTCTATTTGTTGTTGGACAATTTATTGTTTCAGTCACAGGTTCTCGGTTCTCCGGTTGCTCCTCTGAGTTCGTTGATTCAATTATTGAATAGTCAACATTATTTTCTTTTATCTTAGGGGTCTTAGACTCATAGACTATAACGATATTTTGTAATATTGTGATTTCTTTTGTATCGGCTGTGCTGTCTGTTGCATTCATAGGCTTTTCAAAGTTTGTTCCATTTTGGCCACAGGAAGTTGTATCAAAAATCACATCATGGTCTAAAGCTTCTTATGATGGAGTTTTAGCTTGCAACAAACTAAAAATTTTTCTAGTTTGCGCATTATTTATGGCTCCTGTAATAGAACACGAAGACGTAACCACCAGTTGAGAGAACAGCACATTAAGACTTGATAAAATATAAAGGCGGACAATTTTTACATGTTTTACTTTATAAAATATTCTATCTCAAATAAATAATACGTAAACGTATCTTGTTATTTAAAACTAAAACCATAAAATGCTCTTCTAATTTTATTACCAAAAAGCATGTGAATTGGCGTTTACGCCAAAACATCAATAGATAGACACTGGTTTGGCATATGTTATGTTGATAATGGGGTGTTAATACACTGCGACCTAAAAGATCTATTGTGCCCCCTTCTGTCGCCACTGCACTAAGGAAATGTCTCAATGTCTATAGCGACCCTTCCAATCCTATTTTCTCAAGGAAGTGTAGGATTTGAAGTAGCTTCAAGTTAGGTAAGTCTCCCTCTTCTATTTGATATCCTCCTAGATATAGTGCCCTTGGATTCTGGAGTGCTACACATTCAGTTAGGATGTGAATGGAGGTTTCGTCCTCCTCCTCACAGAATCTGCACTCACTATCCTCTACTACTCTCAGTTTACTTAGGTGTCCTTTTAGTCGGCAGTGCCCGGTAAGGGTCCCTGTTACAATACGTAGCCTGTTCTTGCTCAGGCAGATGCAGGCTTCCGATCTTTTTTGGTTATATTCACCCAGAAGTATCTTGGCATGTCTCAGCCCCAAGAGATTGTTCCAATTATCGGTTCTTCTACTACCCAATTCTTTTTTAATCTCTATTAATATTGTTCTGGTTTGGCATAAGCGCCATGGGAAACAAAATTAAATTATAACCTTGTTATCAAATTATTGTAGACAAAATCAAAAGAAAGGTGTACCTTAGGGGTATGAAAAACGTTAACAACAAAATTATTTCTTTCAATTTACCTGGATCAGGATCTATCAAGCCGTGAAACGATGAACTAGGTGCCCTATACAAACTCAATGGACGAACTGGCGCTTACAACGATGTGTGAAAACAATGTCATCCAAACCCGTTTTTTCCCGCCTTTTACATCAAGTTGCGCACGCCTTTTTTACAGATTAGACAAAGATAAACATATTTTTCTTGCACTTACTAGACATAGAAAAACGTAAAAAAAATTGGCGCGTACGACAAAACAGTTGCTTCCGTTTTCAATAATTGGCGTTTACGTCTTTTAGGCGTGACTGCGTCGATATAACTGATCTCATTTATATTAAAAGTAAAAGGTTTACTGGCTTAGATAAACAAATGAAATAGAGATAAATAACGATTTTTAATTGTTTTAAAACCAGTACCTACTCTTTTTCTATTACTTTTTCGGCTGGGTCTTTGATGTAATTGGTCTATTTTAAATAGCAGTGCCAAAATTTTAACACAATTATCAACACGCAATTGAGAATTGTCAGTTTTGTTTGTACATTTTATCTTATTTTATATTCCCAGGGCATATTTATAAAGTTTTTAGATTGTCTAGTATTCCGAGCAAATACTACTAGAGGGAGTCTTCCCCCTTCCCCGCGCTAAATTTTGTTAGCACCATCTACTCCCCCCAAGGGAGAAATACCTCTTCTGTAATTGGCTTATTAAATCAGCGTTGCCAAGTTTGACAGCGAGGGTTCTAACAATTTCTGACACATGTCAATTTTTGATTTGTGTTTTACGAAAAATATAATTATTTATAGCCTTGTAAGGGTTTTAAATGTATATTTAAGATTTATTATCTGTAATAATATGGTGGAAGCATGCTTTGTGTACAGAAGACCTGTTGAAAATGCTTCTTCAAGATTATATCATAGGTAAGTACAATCACAACTTAATTATCAGAGGCGGTGCATTAGGCAATCACCTTTAATTTGCAATTAAACTTTCTTATTTTCAAGAAAGTAAAATTAAGAGGGAATAAACCCCAGCTACGTTAATCTTCATCTGACTCATAATATAAAAATAGCAGTGTCTATTCAACCAAATATAGGAATTAAGAATTTTTCTAAAAATTAAATTTTTTCTTTTGAATTTGTTTTTGTACTGCATATAGTTTAATATAGTTTTGCAAATGGGCATATTAATTTTTATTTTAAGGGTTTTAAATTTTAAATCGGTAATATGAATATTTTTAACAGAAAACTTTGCTATTTTGTTAATAAAAAAAATTGAATGTATTAATTAAATGTTTAAGTATTTTAAATTGTAACAGTTGTAATAATGTTATGAATTTATACAGGGTGGCCACTTTTTTAATGGGATTGTATTAGTAATTTCCAAACCGTACTAGTTAGAAAGTAGGTTAAATTGAGAAAAAGTTGCCTATCTCGAAGCATAATCTAGCGGTAAAAATTAATCGAAAATTGCAGGCCCGGCTCTTGAGATATTTCGATAAAAAGAAATTCGATCTTTTCGGTTTTTTTGGTTATCGTTCATTTATTTTCAGAACTACTAAAAAATATTTTAAAGGTTTTTTATTTGATAGTAAATTTTCTTTGATTTGACGTTTTCATATTTTGCATCCAACGTTTCGTATTCTCTAGACCACCCTCAACTTATTTTTTTTAAATATGGACCTGGATATTTTATAACATTATTTGAAATAACTTTTTGTCCTGCATCCAGCGGTGTATTACACAATGGCATTCAATGACGGTTTTTGGGTAATATGGACCGTAATCCAAATTTTATTTAATTTACGCTTGGTTTTAGCCATCTTTAGTTGAATCAACATCGATAAAAAAATAAAATCAATTCTTACAAAATTTATGTAATTTTTTGAAAATTAAACAATTCATCAACAACAACAATAGTAATGTAGAAATTTTAAAACGCAATTAATGATAATAACAAAAAGAAATTCAGTTTTTGTTAGTCATAATCAAATTATTTGAAAATATCAATAAAATTAATTGAGTAATTGTTCAAAATGCCTGCCATCTTCTTCAATACATTTAGCAATTCTGATATTCATATATACCATGATGTTTTCAATTACGACTTTCGGAGCCAATGAAATAACATTTAAATAACCTACACCTACATATATAATTAAGGGTAATTTTTTTTATTATAAGTTTAATATTCTTATAAATAGTTGTATTGTCTAATAGATGGTCAATTTTTCTATAGATTTTCAGAATTGCAGAAGATTAAGAAGTAAAGAATTTTACTGTAATGTAATATCTAGCAACTTTGATATTGTCTTAGCGGTAGAAACTTGGTTAAAGGAGGATATCTGGGATAATGAACTATTTGACATAGATGTATACACTGTTGTCAGAGCGGACAAAAATTCAATTATTACTGGTAAGACAAAGGGTGGTGGAGTGTTAATAGCAGTGAAAAATAAACAAATAAAAATATTAAACATTGTTCAAAAAAGTTTGTGGTATGAATTAGTAGCTGTAGATATAAAATTTAAAAATTCTATAAAATTCACTATAGTTGTTATTTATATTCCACCTAATAGTTCCAATGATGTTTATAACAAAATTTTTCCCAAGTATTCAGGATTTAAAAAAAGATGAAGTTGTATATATCTTCGGGGATTTCAATTTAACAGAAATAGTAGGACTTAATACAAAATTAGACAGCTCGAAAGGCAATAATAATCAATTATTTGTTGATTTTTTACATTTTAATTCCTTTAGTTTGGTTAATAATATTAAAAATTCGTTGGGTATAACATTAGATTTAGTCCTATCATCAAGTGACTATATTAACCATATTAGAATAGTGCAATGTCCCACACCTTTAGTTGAAGAAGATGTATATCACCCTGCTTTAGAGATTAACATAAATTTAATCAATAATAAACAAACAGCTAATAGACTTGAGACAAATTTAAATAATAAATTTAATTTTACAAAAGCAAATTTTGAGCTATTAACTGACTTGGTTAGGAATACAAATTGGGATTCAGTATTAAATCAGGTAGATGTGAATGTAGCAGTTGAACACTTTTATGTAATAATGAATGATATATGTAATGTATCTGTTCTAAAATTTTCGAATAAAAACTATCGAAAGAAAAACTATCCACTGTGGTTTAATGATGAGATGAAAATGTTACTTAAAGAAAAAAATACTTTAAAGCAACTTAAGAATATATCTGATAGATACAAACTATAATACATTTAGGTTAGAAGGCCACTCAAAATATTAACCAAAGAAAGATATAAATCTCATATATCAGAAATTGAAGATAAATATAGAAAGAAAAAGAATAGTTGTACAGAAACTAAATTTCATCTAAATGGTATGCAAGTGACTGGTGATAGAATAGCTCCAAATTTTGCTCAATATTTTTCTTCTGTTCATGCTGCACAAAAGGCTAATTACTCAATAATACCAGAGGAGGGTAATTTAGGTAATACATTTGTTTTCAAACGTATTAGTATTGAAGATTTTAAAGAAGCGGTAAAAAAGCTGAAGCCAGAGAAATCTGCAGGGATTGATAATATTCCCCCATATGTTATTAAAGCACTGGCTGAATGTCTAGAAGTTCCACTTTTGTTTATATTTAATAATAGCTTTGAGCACTGGAATATTTCCACAAGTGTGGAAAACAGCTACTTGTGTTCCTTTACATAAATCCGGGGATAAAACTAACATTGCAAATTATAGAGGAATATCTATCATTTGTGCACCAGCGAAATTACTATACTCTGTTTTTAAACTAAGAGGAGCGATTTTAAGTTAAGTTGGCAATTCTGTAGGCTGCTGATTGGTCAGATTGCAGTCAGATTCACACATTACTTTTTAGCTGATAATTGTTATTGTTGACATTTCCATTCTGACATTTTATATTTAGTTTTGTTATTGTTTTTATATCTCATCATTATTACTTAGTTTTTTATTTTATTTCTTTAATAACAGTTCTTTTCA